AAACGAATCTTATCAGGTAAGAATTGACGATACGTTGTAGTTCTCGTTATTCTTAACCTTTAATGTAAAAAAAAATGCAAATTTCTTTTTGGACAAATTTTAACCATAGAAATTCCGTTTGACGTAGTCAATTTAAGGGTATACACCATGGATTCACACGTACTCATGGTTATAATCGTACGCACCGCCATCTATTGATGAACTAGACATTTCTATAAATTTATCATTAAATTATTTAAATATAACTTTTAACTTTTTAAAACTTTTTGTTTCACCAGAACCACACTAGACATGCTCATTCTAAATTACTTAGTTTCCTCTAGCTCGTGCGGAGTCTCTCCATTATGCGAACGAACTATAATTCGGCTGAAACAACTTTATAATGTATAATATATTATATAGAAACGTTCCAAGCTGCGCAGCTCGCGCCCGAAGGCGTCGCTTGTCGCTATAATATGTACCCGAGAGGTAAACTATCTGACTATCGGTAGGTTAGGGGGTAAACATTCAGGTTTAGCCGTCTAAATTAACTTCAAACGCCACCGCCAGATGGCGCTACGCGCGGCTCTATTCGGCGTTCGGCCGTATTCAGTGGAACATCGTCAGCACTCTCGTGTTCTGGTACAGCGGGTTAGCGAAGGACCAGTGTAGGGAGGGAGAGGCGGCAAAGAGAGCGGGAGGGTGAGGGCAGGAGGAAGTTTAGAAAAATTACTAGTTAGTGAGTAGGAGAACGCTAGTGAAGAATGAAAGAAGGGGAGAAGGCGAGAAGCGCGTGGAGGACGGGAGAAGACTGGTGGAGCAGGAGGGGGCAGAAGCTAGTGGAGGGAGAAGGGGAGAAGGAGGGGATAGGAGCTGGAGAGGAGGAGGGCTGAGAAGGGAGAACGCTGGGTGGAGGAGAGGGGGAAAAAGGGAAGAAGCTGGTGGAGGCAGCGAAGTGGAGAAGCTGGTGGAGAATGAAGGAAGGGGAGAAGGGAGAAGGGGTGGAGAAGGAGCGAGCGATGAGAAGCTGGCGGAGAAGGAGGAGTGGGGGTCCGAGAAGCTGGCTGGAGAAGGAGCGAAAGGGGAGGAAGGGCGCGAGAAGTAGCTGGTGGAGCGAGGGGAGAAGGGAGAAGCTGCCCGTGAGAGAAAGAGGGCGCGAAGCTGCGTGGAGAGCGAAGGAAGCGAGCAGAAGCGAGAAAGTGGTGGAGGAGGGAGAAGCTGCGGGAGGGAGAAGCTGGGGAGTAAGGAGGAAGGCTGCAGAAGGAGGGCCGGAGAATGCGGAGCTGGTGAGGAGGAGGGGGAGAAAGGAGCAAGCTGACGGTGGAAGGAAGAGCGGGAGAAAGCTGCCGTGCGAGGAAGAGCCGCGGAGAAGCTGGTGGAGAATGAGGAAGGGGAGCAAGGGAGAACGGGGGTGGAAAGGAGGGAGAAGCTGGTGAGAGTAAGGGCAGGAGGGAGAAGCTGGTGGAGGAGGAAGGGAGGCACGGGGAAAAAAGTAGCTGGCTGAGGAGGGGGAGAAGCGATGAAGCTGGTGGAGGAAGAGCGGGAGAAGTGTGGAGAATGAGGAGGGGAGAAGGAAAGGGTGAGGAACGCGGGAGAAGCTGGCTGGAAAATGAGAGGAGGGAGAAGCTAGGTGGAGAAGGAGGAATGGGAGGAGGGCGGAGGAGGGGCAGAAATGACCTGCGTGGAGAGGCGGAGCAAGGAGAAGACTGCGTGGAGCAGGCGGAGACAGCTGTGGAGAATGAGGAAGCGGGAGAAGGAGAAGGGGAGGAGAAGGAGAGGAGAAGCTGGTGAGCAGATAGGAGCCGGAGCAAAGTCGTAGAGAAGCGCAGGAAAGGGAGGAGCGGGAGAAGTACTGGTGAGGAGAGGGGCGAGAAGGAGAGAAGCTGAGTGGAGAAAAAGGAGCGGAAGAAGTGGCTGGTGGAGAAGGAGGAAGGCGGAGAGAGCAGAGGGTGTGGAGGAGGCAGGGAGAGCTGGTGAGAAGGAGAGGGGGGGAAGCTGGGGAGAGAGAAGGGAGAAGAGGGAAAGGAGTTGGTGCAGAGATGGCGGCAGAAGGAGAGCTGGTGGCCAGAAGCGAGGCAGGGGAGAAGCTTTCTCCGCCAGCCTCTCCTTCTCACCAAGCTTCTCCCCTTCCTCATCTTCCACCAGCTTCTCCCACTCCTCCTTCTCCACCAGCTTCTCCCTCTCCCCTTCCTCCTTCCACCAAGCTCCCTTCTCTCCTCCTCCATTTCTCCACCAGTTCTCCCCTCCTCCCTTCTCCACCAGCTTCTCCCTTCTCCCCTTCACTATTCTTCACTAGCTTTCTCCCTACTTCCAACCTACTAGTATACTCTAAACCTTCCTCTCCCTCTCCCTTTCCCCGTTCACCACACGTGCTCCTCGCACCCTGTACAAACTTACGAGAGTGCTGAGACGACCTGCACTGAACGCCCCGAACTGCCAATAGACTGCTGTAGCCCATCTGGGCGCTGGAAGTTTGCAAGTTAATTGACGACGCCTAAACCTGATGTTTACCAGCGTTATGGCTTACTTTAGGGTGTTAGCGTTTAGTTAGGTTAAAACAGACCAGGCTCTCCGACTGTTACACGGCGGTAGGAGCTGACCCCTTCCATACGAAATGCATGCGTAGCCCCTGAAAACAAAACTCCGAATTTCATTAAAATTTCGTTAAATAATAACAATGTATTACCACATTCTGACCTCACCTGCATGACATGTTGCAACTATCACTACACTTCTTTAATTGACTATTTACTCGAAATACACGTTAAAAGGATGAGATTTTGAACAGCTAATACTAATCTTTAACGTTTGTGTGAAATGCCATTATGATGTTCTTATTCTCTCTTTACGCGAAAATCACGAACTTTCGCCCTACTGTATTATGGCATATCTATGGCGGAAATTTGCGGCATTTTTTGAGTTTTAATCTATGTAAGTACATGCTCAGTTGATAGCGCACATACAATAAATACGAGCGTGTGGAAGTACAGAGAAGCTGAAGAATCATAAAAAGTGAGATAATTAACGTATAAATAGGCACACGCCACTACTGCGCAACATATTTCTAATGCGTCGTTTAGTGACCTCTCGCCACGTAGGTTAAGCGAATGAATTGTGGCAGTAGGTTAGGGTTAGCGGATAGACCGAATAATTCTGTCTCATATAACCTTTTTAATTTTGTTGAAGGTCTATTATGGACAGGAACAGGGCGTTCATTGAAATTTCGGACGACGCCATGCAAAATGGATGCGCTGCTAGTGTTACAATAGCCCTGGTTCTCGCTTCGTATCTGTGCGTGCCTGCAGGAGGTGATAGACTCGCTCTGATGGTCTGATGTTATGTAAATGGCGAATGTAATTTAACGAAAGTGCAATAAGCGCCCCTCTTCGTTCTGAAAACAATCTTTTAAGCAAGAATAATGATTGAATGTGATGTATACACATATCTGTGCAAGTAAGAGTCATGTAGAGCGAACGGTAGGGTTTTTTCGGCCAATAGCGCGCGTACGAGCACCGCATTCGCCAGGCAATGCATTTTTCAGATACAAGATAATGTAACCCAAACCCAAGAGATAGGCGTTACAATAGTCTCGCTATCCCTTTCTGCGCGGGAATGCCCGAGTGAATCACTCGGCGGTTTTGCTGGTGCGGTTTCAGATATGATTCACTGGGGTTTATTCTCAACACAAACCTTTCTCCCATCTGGGAACTACTATGTATCGCAATACTCTGTTTTAAGACTAATATAACCTGTTACAAAAATTCGAGAGTGGTACGAGCGGCGAATATCCTGCAGCGCCATTTCGAATTCCTATGGGATGGGATGGGATGGCATGGAATGGGATGGATGGATGGATGGATGGATGGATGGCTAGATGGATGCATGGATAGATAGATAGTTAGATTTGTTTGGGTATTTTCCTTTCAACCAAGCGGTCACCAACTGAGTAATGCCACTGATTTCCCCGGGCAACGCCGGGTATCCCTCTAGTCAATAATAAAACGATTGTAAATAAACGCGAAATGTATTTTACTACCAAACTGTCAATGATTATGTATTCTCTATCGACTAATAATTAATAATAATATAGTACAAGGTAATACCTTTGCAACACAACAATTATACTACACGCACAGCGCAGCTACACCAGTGCCACCACTGCAAAAACTCACAGAAGGATAGAGTAGCCGAGGTGAGAATTATAACTTGCAATTTAATACTATACACTTTATCAGGAGTCTATCAATATACTCCTGATAGACTCCTGACTTTATCTAGAGAAATCTGGTAAATTCCCAATGAAAAATGCCACTCCACGGCAATCTAAATGAATGTTATGCGCCATATTAAATAGAACACGGGAATGTAAAAGAGAACACCAGTATTTCATCTATGCAAAGTAACACATTTATATTGTGAACAATGCCAGTTACATCCATTACGTGTTATGTTTGGTAATAAAGCATGTATAACCATTATTAAAGCATCGTAACCTGCACAACTTGCATAACCTGTGGCTACTAAATAAGAAACATTTTGACATAAAGTATGCTCATGCAGACTGAAAATTCTTTGATGTATCGGTCATTTAATATTCTAGTGGAAGGAACTTCCAGAAACTTAAGGATTTTAATTATGTTTCACCCATTTCATCATTTCAACCTAATTTGATTACAACTTAAAGATACCTACACACAATAAATTACTTCAATAGTATTAGTATAGATACATGAGAATCATTTGAGCTATTTTTTTGACTAAATTGAATAAGTAATTTTGAAGTGATAGTTAAAACCCAGAGAGTTGTATACTGCAATACCTGTTAAACTGCCAGGTGGCTCTGTATGCCATTAGGTGGCGATGTTCAATTGGCATTACAGTATATCAGAAATCTTCAGTACCTTGTGTAGTACGCGTGCGCGAAGTTTCACAATTCTAACTATAAGTGCACAATGCACCCATTTTTATGTGCTTATTTGCTGCACTATGCAGTTATCTGGTGTCATTTTTTTCATTTTCAGTTCACCTGAGGGAGAACGGTACAAGTCCGACAGATTTAAAATGGTGCTTCCATATGCCGGACAGTCTATAGTGTGTAAGTTTCGAGGTTATCTACCATCGTCAAATGTAATAGTAGTGAAATGACAAATTATGTCATTATAACTTGGAATGGATGTATTAGATGTTTTTAAATTTTGATGTTTTATGTCATGCGCATTCTAGTTCTCTCCTTATGCATGCAAAAATTGTAAACTATTGTGAGCTGGTAATTTGGCTCATCAGTGATATTTCCCAGGATGTGTTATAGAATCCCATTTTAAATTGTGATTGCGTACGTAATAAATACGCCATTTCTATAGAGCTTTTGCTTGTTTGCAGGGGAGATTTTATTTAATGCTGTTACTCCGGAGCTGCCGCCAGATTTTATCTTCAATGAGCAAGAGTTTTTCCCAGATCCTGACAAGCTGGAGGTTTTTATGACTTTAATAAACTTGGTCACATAACAGATTCAGACATGTTCCATTACATGATGTGGGAATAAAATAGACTCGGAGCTTTTTCGAATTTTGTAATTTTAAATAAGGGGTGCTCAACCAATAATATAAATATATGTATTGTAACATTTGCCTACAATTTATGTGTGCAAATATCTTTTGCAATGAAGTTATAATTGTGCTTAAGGTTTATGCTTGGTCGCATTTCTTTCTTTTAGAGTCTAGGGAACTGGAACTCACATAACCCATCAGCATTATTAAGTGTTGTTCGGGAACTGCTGGAACAGTACAGAGAGTACCAAGTGTCTCTAATTACAAAGGACTCACGCTTGCACTTTGAGTACCAATCCCTGCTTGAGCGTTTTTGCAAGAAAGCAGATGAGGTTGAGATCCATGTCACACCAAAATTACCTGTGGGTAGCATCATGTCTTTGTGTTTAGTGGTCCATATTTGCTAATGCATTTTGGGTATATACCAGAAAGTGATATGAGTTGTCTGTTACAACTACTCTGATATAATTTGCGTGGAAACAAATTTATGCATAATTTATATGTAGATATAATAATACTTATTATGTGATGAGTTAATACTGCTTATAATTTTAGGGCAAGACTGGACAAGTAAACTTCCTTATCAAACTACCAGTTGATTTTTCACGGATTCCTCCTTCCCTTCTGGTAAATATATGTACTGTATTTAAGTAAATATAAAAACTGTAATTTTAGATAGATATTACAGCGGAGAAAATCTCGACATGATTTACATGCCATCTTGACCATCGATTTCATTTGTATATAAAACAGTAAGGCATGGTAATTTTGTATATTTCTAACACGTGTGTAGGGGTCATCTTTGCTGTTGCAGGACCAAAGCACTTGCAAAGATTCTGCAGTGCTTCTTGTGCAGTTCACATCATCAGAGCCAAAACAGGCTACGCCGCAGCTGTTCCTATCACCCGGGGTGGAGCGGGCACTTGCTGGGTCACAGGCCCTGCGAATCCCAACTTTTCCGACTGGTGGATGTCTGCACGATTATGTTGCCTCTGTCCGTGACCTTCTAAATGCAACGGTAACTGACAAGTTCTTGAATGATGTGATACTTAGACTAATGGCTAGGAAATTGCTAGTACAGCAGTACCATGTGTTATGTAAGTAATATGTTCTAGAAAAGCATTCTTTATGCAAAACTCCATAATACAACTCAAGTTTTCTCTTTGACTCCCATTATATAATTGGAAATACGTTTCTGTGAAAAATATTTAAGCTGAAAAATATAGTAGGACAATTATGAATTCAAGTAAACAATTTAAATCCATATATTGATTATTTAATACTGTAGCTATTTTAGCTACATATCTTTAGCTATTTATCTTCTCTAGATATTTTCATAGTACTGAAAGTGAAAAGGTGTTCAGAATTAGAATTACTGAGAAGGAAAGGAAGGTCAAAGTCGGAATTACTGAGAGGTAGAGGAAGGGGCATTTTTACCAGCTGGCTTGCCTTCGTTATTATTATCATTGTTCCACCAAACTAGCATCACACTGTCATATTTAATATATAAATTTTATTTATGGAAATTGTGTATGGTTCTTTATGAGTAGATAACCGTGCATACTTATTGTTTCTAAAAAATTACGCAAGACTTAAATTTCGTTTCCTATCACAAGTAAAGTAGTCATAATTTACTAATTGTGTATGTGCAAATGTACATAGCCCGGATTGAAGTGCACCGGGTGTTACTGTAACTAATAGTAATTAATTCTGTTGAGTTGGTTGAGCACATCAGAATAATATATTCTCACACTATGGGCTTATACTCTTTTTACATTCCTGTTGACATGCTGGGGTAGTACTGTATAGTGTGTCTATACAATAGTAATCTGTTTTTTTAATGTAGGTAAAAAAGGTAGTACAGCGCTATGAGAAAAGAAAAGAATACATGGCTGCATTCCTAATTCTGTTTGGAAGGTCTGTATTATGTTTATCATGTAATGTGTTACCCAAAAAATTCCCATTATTGTTGAAACCTGGATAAATTGTAATTTTGTGATGAATTTTAACATCTAAGCAACTGCCAACCTTTTTGTTCCAGCTCAGTCTTGGAGTATGATATCATGCTGTTTGATCGTCTATCCATGTTGTTTGAGTGGCACAACTTTAGTTTCATAGTACATGGTAAGAATTCAGAGACACAAATATTCTCTTATAATATGTAGCATGCTGCTTCAGAATGAGTATTGTGCCAATACACTATACTGATGGTTTCCAAACGTGGGGACACACACAAATTGGAGTTGCGGAGGCAGGTTCTCAGTAGCGCTGTGTATGATAATGGGATCACATGCTTTCTTGGGCAGTGACTTTTAAAGCATTTTAGTATGCAATAGAGTATTTACCCAAGTATTTACCCAGAGTTTGGGAACTAATAACTACTGTTGCTGTTTGGCTCAATGTTTATTTGTATATTTAAAGATGTAATATTGAACTAATTTCCTTTCAACTTAAATAATGAAAAATGAAAATAATTCATAATATATGTTTATGTCAAAACATCATGCACTTGGTGGCTGGGAATTTTAGACACCTTTTATGCATGGAAAAAATGAGAACATCTGCTCTGTACATTGTGAATTATTATTCATTGTAGAATGATATGTATTGTATAAGACGTGAAGACAGGAGTGAGGCATATTTAAAGTTATCGAACTCCCTGTTACTGTAACTGTTAAATTCTTATCTTTCTATGTAGTGAACATTCCAGAAAAGTTTCCAGCCATGAAGCCAACGTTGACACTAGAGTCTGTATATCACGAGTTCAACAAGGAAATATTCTCGATCTCGTATGATGATTACCCATATAGTCCCCGCTGGCATGGCACAGAGATGGCCGAGCGAGCAAGGTATGTGCACGATTTTGAATTTGCAGTGGCTAGAAGATCATAATGGTTGTAGTTTGTAGTATGGTATTGAGAGATGTCAGTCCCTTTCTAAGCAATTGTGCTACAGATCTAAGCAGCCCTATCCGCTCTATGATTATGCGAGAAAAAATGCGAGTTGTACTAAAAAATGCATCTTCAACTTTAAAAAATGCAGGTTAATAGTGTTTGCTTATTTGTTCAAGGGAATTCATCCTCAAGACAGTGCCAGAGTTTCAGAAGTCGTCTGTGCGAAAAGGTCACCTCTAACCTCGTCTGCTCATCTGTTAGGGGGCATCTCATAGACTCTTCAGACCACGAGATATTCATTTCTTCTCCTAACCTGCTCATGGAGGAACAATTGAGTAATAATGGTGGCATCCGTTAAGCACAAGTTAAAAAACAATAGCGCATCCTTGCGAGCAGAAAAACGAGACCAATGGTCGTTTTTTGCTTTTCCATGCTCCTTTATGTAAAGACACTTACGTAAATACTGAATAATTATACTGGATAAGGAATATATTAATCAGTATAATCATGTTAATGTAATAGAAATGTAAAGCCAAAGCTGTATGACTCATGTTTAAAGGTTTTTACAGCCTATATATTCTGTAAATAAACCAAAGGTATATTTTAGTTAGTTGGCAAATTATTATGATTGTCGTTATATTTAAATTGAGTTATCGTATTTCATTGTTGCATTACTACTATTACAGCTGTTAAAAATTGGGTGATTTCTTGGAATGTTAATGCTTGTATTTTTCCTTTTGTGTATTGCAAAATGTTCATCGATGAGTGTAAAAGACATTCAAATAGTGTATGCATAACCTGGTACAAGCTGGCAACTTTGGTACAGGCACTGACCTAGCCACAAGTTCCCATCTCGCTTAACACTACGTGGCGAGAGGGTCACAAACCGACGCATTAGAAATATGTTCGGCAGTACGTGCGCTGCTATTTAACGTTAAATTATCTCACTTTTTATGATTCTTACAGCTTCTCTGTACTTCCGCACCTCGATTTATTGTATGTGCGCTATCACTGAGCATGTACTTGCATAGATAAAACTCAAAAAATGCCGCCATTTTCCCATAGATATCCCATAATACGTAGCGAAAGTTCGTGAATTTTCGCGTACAAGAAGAGACATAAGAACATCCATAATGGCGTTTCACAACGTTCAAATAGTATAGCTGTTCAAAATTCTCTCATTTTAACGTGTATTTCGAGGTAAATAGTAATTAAGAAGTGTAGTGATAGTTGCAACATGTAGCAGGTGAGGTCAAATGTGGTAATACATTGTTTTATTTACGAAATTTTATGAAATTCGGAGTTTGTTTTCAAGCTACCATGCATTTCGTATGGAAGGGTGTCAGGCTCCTCCGCCGTGTAACAGTCGGAGAGCCTGGTCGGTTTAACCCTAACCCTAAACCTAACACCCTAAGTAACCCTAACCCGGTAAACATCAGGTTTAGCGTTGTAAATTAACTTGCAAACTCCACCGCCAGATGGCGCTACACAGTCTATTGGCGTTTCGGGCGTATCAGTGGCACATCGTCAGCACTCTCGTAGTTCTGGTACAGGGTAGCGAAGGAGCAGTGTGGGGAAGGGGAAGGGAGAGGGAGGAGGAAGTTTAGAGTAGTACTAGTAGGTGGAGTAGGGAGAAGCTAGTGAAGAATGAGGAAGGGGAGAAGGGAGAAGCTGGTGGAGAAGGAGGAAATGGAGAAGAGAGAAGGTGGTCGAGAAGGAGGAGGGGAGAAGCTGGTGGAGGAGGGGAGAAGCTGGTGGAGG